TTCTGCCAGCCCCTGCACATTCCAGGTATACCTCACATTCCATGGTATCGTCTCTAACTTCAGGAGGTTGGGATAACAGTTCCACAGATGAGAAAATGAGCCTGGAAGGACCTTGAACTCAGCCACAGTTTGATGTACATGAGATCCCTGGGCTGGCACGGCCCTACTTGGTTTTGTACCCTCTTGGTGTACTTGAATATAAAAAGAGAGCTCTGTGGTGGGTGATAGCTGGTGGCTGCTGTGTAAGGGTGTGAAAAGGACCACCAGGGAGCCCTCAAACTCATTTCAAGGAGACTCCCAGGAGGAGCTGGAAGGTGGAGCCTTGTAGGAACCATTGCCTGGGCAGGGGTTAGAGCCTGAGATTTCTGGGTCGTTCCAGATGCCTGACAGATGATGGTCCCACACTCCTGCTACGGCTCACCAGGGGTGTTGTGAGTGGAGGGGGGGCTCAAACCAGGAAGACCTCCCCTGCAGCCTCCCTCTGTTCTAACACACTCTCTGAGAGAACCCAGCTCCCAGTTAGCACCATCGTCTCACAGTCATGCCTGTCCCTAGTACTCTCTGCCCTGTAAGTCTTCCCACACACAGCTCTGCTGTCCTGTCCCCTAGGAAGCTTACCTAATCCCCTGCTGGATCCTTACCCTCTTCCAAGTCTAGCTATCTCCGGAAGAGCTTGCAATCAAGGCAAGTGACAAAGAGGGAAGAACATTCTGGGGCCTTCCATGGACTCTAAATTCAATCCAGACACCCCCACCTCTGACTGGCTGAATGTCTTTGAGTGGAAATCAGCCTTCCCATATGTAAAATGGAGTCCACATGTGGTCCAGGAGAAAAGGGGGAGCTGTGGTTCATGGGGCAGCTTCAGCTCAGCCAGTCTAGGGCTCCCTCATTTCCATCCCCAAATTAAACCCCACGTGACCTGCAGCTGCCTCCCTGCCTCAGACACACCCATTCTGTAAAGGACAAGGACCTTGCCCAAGGTCGTCCCTTGGGGACTCCAGCTGCCCCAGTTGTGCAGCAATTGGAGCTGGCTGGCTCTGTGCCGCTCTGTCCGCCCACCTGCCCACATCTGCTCTGAGTCACTGATACCTCGGCCAAAACAGGATTGCGGGGGCTGCAGAGACAAGGTTAGCCCAAGGGCACTGTGTGGGTAAATGGAGGTTGTGGTGAGGGACTTTTATTTCTAAGAGGGCAGGGCAAGGTCACAGAAGAGAAACTGAGGCCAGAAAAAACGGGATTGCTCAAGGACCTACAGGGAGTTGGGGTCAGGTCTGCCCAGGCCTCCCGACTGATGGATGTTCTTTCTGCCCTGTCAGGCCATCAGTGAAGGAGGCAGGGTTAGCAGCCTTGACAATTATCTGGGCAATTAAAGCAGGCAGATGGTTCTGCTGGACTGAGCGTTCAAGCTGACAAACGGAGACAGCACGGGGCATTAGCTGACGAGATCAGCACGGGTTCTTCCGGTGGCAGCGATGTGAGCAAGGTGGGTAGGCGGAGGCACATTTCACTCAGTGTATGCTAGACGAGGGAGGGCGATGGCTGGCTCTGCCCTCTCTCTGCCTCTCATGCACTGCAAGCCTTGAGTTCCAGCTGAGTCTGCGCTTCGGAAAAGAGGCACAGACAAAAGTGGGTGTGGCAGAGGCAGCAGCTAGACACTCACTGGCAGTACTAGCTAGCGGAAGCAGCCAGAAGCTTCAGGGCCCATCAAGTCTGCCGGAGTCCCCCAGCCAGAGCTCCGGAAGGCAGAGACCTCAGTGATGCTGGAAAATCCAGGCCAGCAGCACATCTAGGGACACACAGTGGGGACATCACAGAAAGGACTCTGCTCCCAGCAGATACATGAGACAAAGTAACCATTGAGGAACAAAATGCCTTGGCAAGATGCTTAGGCTGGGTAGTTATCCTGCCTGGGCAGACTCAGACTCCCTCATTTTCTACACACCTGTTTTTTTTTTAAGTCACTTCTTCCTTTGAGCCTCAGTTTCCCCAGGTGTAATGTGAACAATTTAGATCATAGGCGCCAAACTCTCGAGGAATACAGTAATGTTAAGTACCTAGCATGCTGCCTGACAGACAGCAAGTGCCCAGCAGAGAACACAGAACAAGGCTTTACACCAGCCTGCCAGGACTCTGCAGTTCTGGAACAATCCCAGGATGGATTTATCCGTCGGCGCAGTCTCGAAGATATCTGGTGCCCCAGTCTGGGAGGAGGGCAGAAGCCCAGGAGAGGAACCATTGGATGAGCACTGAAGGGAAGGAGCATGCTTGAATTAAGGGTCAGAGCTGAGCCTCATGCTGCTATGGGGAGGTGGGGTTGTATAATAAATACCGGAAAACAGCTGGTGGCCAGGGTGAGTGCTAGGGAGAATCCTGGGGAGCCTCCATCCCTGAGGGCAGAAGGGAGGAAGAAGCCACCATGATGTGTAGATGCAGCTAGGAGGCCAGGATCAGAACACCTCTTCTGACCCATGCTGGGCTCTCAAGACTTAGGGCAGTCCCTGGTACACAATGGTTGCTCAATAAATGTTGACAGAGACAGGGCAGTATACCCTGTGCCAGCATTGATTGATTCTGTGCCCTATAGCCTTGTTTGCTCAAGCTGTCCTTTCTGTTACTTACCTAGCAAATTCCTGCTCTGAGAGACCTCCCTAGCCCCTTTCTCTCAAAATCATCACTTCCTTTTCCGGGCATTCATAGTACGGGTCTTATACGGCCATATAGCCTTCAAACAATCAAAAAGGTCTTATTCAGGAAAGATGGAAACCAGGAAGATCCATTGAAAACATGGGTTGGAATGCTGGTCAGATGGCTCAGTGGGTAAAGAGCCTTGCCAACAAGCCTGATGTGAGTTAGATTCCTGGGACACACATGGTGGAAGGAGACAACCGACTCCTGAAAATTGTACTCTGGCTTACTCACATGCATCATGTAAACATAACAATAAAACAACAAGAATGCAGGCTGGAGGTAAGGAAGTATGTCCCCAGACAAATAAAACCCCAAGACTGGAGAGATGGATCCGTGCTTAAGAGCATGTTCTGCTCCTGTGGAGGCAAACAGAGGACCGAGTTTTGGTTCCCAGGACCTATATCAGGTGGCTCATAACCACCTGTGATTCCAGCTCAGGGGATCCAACACCCTCTTCCGGTCTTTGTGGACACCTGCATGCACACAGGACACATATATAACATATGGAATAAATAAGTCAGTCTCAAAAACAGAAAACCTTGACTATGAAGCTGGGGGAACCTCTTTCTCCCCACCGAGGCCTCAGGACTCCTCCCTCAAGAAATAGCTCCATGCAATGGAGTACAGCTTTGTATCTACCTCTAACTCGAGGAGCCAGGCCACGCCTTCTTCATGTAGATCCTCAGCCAGGCAGGCTGCATGCTTTTTTCCTTTCTGTGCCACTCTCTCTATGAGGAGCTCAACATTCATGGGCGTGACTGCTGTGGGGTGGGGGCGTAATGTACAGCAGGGTAGGGAGAGGCCAGGAGAGAATGGGAGGATATACCCCACCTTTCAGGAACCTATTATGTGTAGGGCCCATGTCCAGACTCTAAGCTGCACTCTGAAGTAGATGGCTTTTCCTGGTCCCCCTCTGCAGTGGAGAAACTGAGGTCTGACAGCTGTCATAGCCACACAGAAAGTGACAGCCAAGGGTAAGACTTGAACCTAGGTCTGTCTGGGCAGATACAGCTGTTCCTTGATGTCCAAAAAGCACAACCTCATCCTCTCTCTAGATCTAAGTGTCTTCCACAGAGAGCAGCCCTGAGATGTGGTCACCCATTGCATCCACAGGGTCCTCAGGACAATGGCCTTGAGTTCCTGATACCTCTGTCCCTGCAGAGATCTCTAGAAGACTCCAGCTGCTCACAAGCCAGAACAGGTTCTGGAACACTCTGCTGCCCCATGGACCCACTACCCCTTCGCCCCTTCCAGGGGAACTGCCCCACTTCATATAGGTCCTTCAAATGGTAATAAAACACTCACCAAATACTCACTCGTGGGTCAGCTGTGTGGCCTTGGGAAAGTTCCTCAACTTCTCTGGACCCCAGTTTTCTGCTATATAACCAAGGCCAAGAGTGGACTGGCACTGAGGGATATTGTGGGAACTATGAGGAAAGGCCTTCTCTGACACACGCTGACACTGAACTAAGGTCTGCGCCTGTTGTTAAAAGGTTATTCTTAGTTCTTAGCCTGAAGCACAAATTCCTACCATCCTTATCTACTATGTTATACGTGGAGAATAGAAGGGTGATGGCTAGGGTCACACAGACTCTGGAGCTTAACACCTAGCTTCACACTGTCCTCCCCAGCTCACTGCAGCCTTGTCCACACCTGAGGTACCTCTTCTACTCCAGGAGCTGGATCTGTGCCAGGGATGGGACAGTGTCAAGTTAGCTTGGACCACAGCCAGGCCCAGGCTTCACCTTCAGCCCTCAGCCCCAGCCTACAACAGAGGTGTGAATGTGTGTGTGCACGCACAGACACACACACAATGCCCACCTGCCCCACTACAGCACAGCCCCATAGTCTGAATAGAGAGGAAAGAAAAGCCTTTTAGGGATGCATCCCATGAGGGGTGGGGACAAGAAGCTCAGAAAAGTGAAGACACAGAAAGACACTAAAAAGGACTCTTGGACAAAGACAATGAGGGTGGAAGAGGGGAAATATGAACAAATAGGGCAGAGATGATGGAAGAGACACAAGGACAGCCATCAGGGCAGGGAGGAGAACCAAGAAGAAGGAGAGACCCCTAAGGGACCAGACAAAGAGAGATGGGGTGGAGAGAGGGGAAGAGAGACGCAGCCCCAGAGAAACATTCAGAGAAATGCGCAACTGACAAGTGCCTAGGGAAGAGACCCAGATTCTAGGTCCCAGGAGGGATGTCACAGAGACACCCCGAGCACCCAGACAAAAGCAGGTTGGGAGACAGGGGCACCAAGGAGCCTCCCCAATGGCTCCTCCAGCACCCCACAGCAGTGTCTGCTCGGTACCTTTGGGTCTCCGCCTCACCACGCCCAGTCGCCACTTGAGTGACACCGCCAGCATCACTACTGCCCGCCAGCAGGTCCCTGGCCCGGAGCACCGCAGCCGTCCCGCAGCCTCGGAGCCCGGAGCCGGAGCCTCTGCGCTGCGTCCCAGCCGCCTGACTGGTGGAGGCTGGGCGCTCCTGGCCTCCTCCCTTCCCGAGTTGCTAAAATAGATAATCCTCCCCAGAGCCGGCAGCAAGGCCCTTCCTCCACCACAAGCGGGGCGCCAGAGCAGTTCTATCTTCCCAGGTTCTGGCATGGAGAGACTATATTCTGCGCCCTCATTCTCTGTTCCCTCTTCCCGCCAAAAGTGCCGCCTAGCCCACCCCAGCTTCTGCTCAGCTCCATCAGCCTCCTCCCCTCTTCCTCTGCCAGCTGTTGGGTCCCTCCATCTGGAACTGCTCTGTGAAACTTCTCTGCCTGAGACCAATTGCTTGGCCCTCAGACACCCATCCTTAGCTAGCTAGCTGCTAGAAGGGCTGGCCTGCTGTGCCATGGCACAGACCACTGGCATCGTGAAACCAGGCCCCCAGCGGATGCCTGCATTGATGGGGCAGGAGTCCACAGGGCCAGGTATTTGGAAGGAGCTCAGTAAACACATCCTGCTTCCCTTCCTATTAGCTGGCTAGGCAGCATTACCCTCAGAGAGACTAAGGCACAGAAACAGCTACTTCCTTAGAGAATGCATGTGGCTGAGAGGGATCCCATCATCTCCCTTAAGGTGGCTGCTTGGGCTCCCTCCTCATTTTTCAAGCCTCTAAGCCCATAGGAAGGTCTAGATTCAGACCATACGTTCAAGAGGAGCCCAGAAGACTGCTTAGGAATCAGGGCTGCGGAAAAACTCTGCTTGAGTCAGCAGTGCTAAGGCCTTGATCCAGGAAGTATGTGGTTGATCCCATCACTGTCCAGCACTTCTGCATTTCCACCATTAGCTGGCACAGTAGACGGAGCAGAGGGCAAAGTGGGGTGAATAGAACAGGTGATAAATGAGAGGCCTGGGGAGGAAGGGTCCCAGAGGTCTCCCAAATGACTGGTTCCTAATGGGTTGTCTGGGTTCTTCCTGGCTTCCTTTGAGCATCTTCAGCACTAGGCTTCAAGTAGAAGCGGGGTCTGGACTGATTGGCTCTGGGAGGGGAGTCCTGTTTGATATAGGAAAGATGAGCAGAAACACTGGTAAAAGGGGATGCTGGGGGCCTGAGGTCCTTATCCAACTCCATGGGAGATTTTGTTCTTCCATCCTTGGGGGTTGGGGAATGGAGCCCTCGGCTGTGACAATGGAGCTAAAGGTGGGCACTTGAGTGAAACTGCTTGGCTATTCTTGCCACCACCCCCCATACTCCTCTATCAACCAGAGAGGCCTTGACCTCTTCTTGGGTAACAAGGCTGTGACGTAGCCATGCTAACAGCAAGCAGAGAGATAAGGGAACACAAGCCTTTTGGGATGAGCAGATCTGAGTTCAAATCAGTTTAATGTATCCCTCTCAGCCTGTTTTCCTATTTGACTAACAGTGCTGAGACTCACTTCCTGCCTAAAGGGAGCTGCAGGAGCAGCGTGTACAGCTGAGTCTGGAATACAGGAGCTCAATAGCCAATAAGTGGTGGCTATTAACAAGGTTATTCTACGTGGTGTCCCTCCCTATGTGCAAATGGAAATAGAAAACAAGGCAGGAAAACTGGGAACAGCAGGCTCCCACAACCCATCTCATTTCATCTTCACAGTGCACCAGGATGGTCCGGTGAGCATTCCCCTTTTACAAATGAGGAAACTGAGGCTCAGAGAGGAACAGGACTCCTCGAGGGTCACACAGCATGCAGTGGCAGAACAAGGTCCTAGATCTTAGCCATAAGATTAGGCCAGTGACGCAACTGGGCCAAAGAAGTGGCCCTACTGTGTGCTGTGTGTCCTGCTTGGTACCAGAGGCTGCTTCAAACTATCAGGTAACAGAGCTGGGACCAGAGTCCAGGGCAGGAAGTCTGGCCAAGGACCAGGCCACACCTACCCTCACTGTTTCCTCTGGTAAAATAAAACAGGGCTCAGGGGATCTGCCAGCTGACAGTGGCAGGTAGAAAGCACAGCAAATCATAAGGACCAGATAGTGCCAAAGGCAGGATTCGAACACAGGATTAACTACCTCCCCTTAGCACATAAGCTGTACAGATCTCAAAAGATGGCTAGAAAAAAGGGAAAGATCACAAAAGGTTCCAGGCTAGCCTCTGCCAGCCATTATGCTTCCTCCCAGCCCTGCCTCAGCCTCACAACATCCCCAAGGCCCTGGGTCCCCACCACTCCCTCCTGCTTCCGGAAACAAATTAGCATCTCATCAGCAATGCCTTTAATCTTCTTGGTCTTTTCTTCCCCACAGGCCCAGTGGTGACATTTCCGCCACCAGCTCTGCTGATATAAATAAGACCCAAGGCCTGGTCTCTGGAGATGGCAAGGGCTGGGGACCCTCTGTGCAACTCCCTTAGGCCAGAGGAGGGGAAACATGTGGGTCATCCATCAGCCCCATCCCTTTTCTCATTGGACTAATATTTATTAGGCATCAGCTGTGTGCTGTCTCAGAGGCCCAGCAGTGAACAAAATCAAGGTTTCCTGGTGTTGTTGTCCTAGTGAGGAGAGAGAATAGCAACAATGTAGTAAGTAAGTAACTGGTGTAACAGAAGGTGAAATAAAGCAAGGAGGCTGGTATCCCCTTACAGTTGTGCTGTCTCCCAGAACCCAGACTGCGGACTCTCAATAGCTTCTACATGCCGAGGACCCCCAGGGCTGACCTAAGGCTGGGCTAGGGGGGACACACTGAATATCCTTCCTCGGTCCCAGAGATTAAGGAAAGAGCACAAAGTCTGAGTGGGGAAGGTCTCAGAAGGACACCGAAGCCTGGCCCTAAGCATACACTGGCCAGGTCTAGGACAGCTTGAACATCAAAGAAGAACAAAGACTGGAAAACTGTGAGCTGCCAGGTGTGCAGCTCCCATCCTGTGGAGCAGGATGGGAAGCCAGGTGAAATCTTGGGAGGTGGGAGCAAGAAGCCCCTCACAGTTGAAGCCTCTGCCAGCAGCGGAGAATGCCAGCACAGTTAGCAACTGCTTGAGGCTTTTCTCCCTTCTCAGCCACGAACCTGCAGTTTTCTAGCAATCTCAGCAGTTTACAGGGAGAAGAACTAGTTCTAAAGCCCTTGTGCCGCCCGAGCGGCTTCTGGTCTTACTTTATCACATAACTCCAACCAAGAAATCTACAGAGCCATCTCACATACCTCTTCTATAGGAGGAGAGAGAAGGGGCGTCTGCAGCCTTCTGAGAGGTAACTTAAGAGCCACCAAAATGGCCTAAGTGGCCAATGCTAAGAGGATTGATTGTTCTGGTCCTTGGAAAGACTTCCTGCCCTGCAGGAATCTCTTGAGACATCCTTACTCACACTTGTGTGTGTCCTATTTTCGCTACTTTCCCTTGGGAAGCATGCACACACTCCAGCTTCGACATGTCTTCATTTCTTTTAAGTGCCTCTCTTTCTTCAAAGCCTTGTGCTTGACTCTACAGTAAAACATCTTCGATAGCGTTTTCAGCTCTGTCTTATTACACTGGTTAGTACTGAAGGCCTTTTCAGTCCAGAAGCCAAGGATCCTGGTTTGGCCTGAGTTGAGGTCCCTAAATATCGATGGGTGCTCCTCAGGCTTGCAAGGGGTGCCGTTAGAGCTGTGTTTTTATCCCTTTGCTCTGACAAGGACACTGTGAAGTCACCTTCCTGTAGTCCTAAGAATGTGAGGGATCACACATAGACTGAATGCTAGACAGAGAAACCCTGTCTCAGAAAAACAAAAACAAAACAAAACAAAACAAAACAAAAAAAAAAAAACCCCATAAGCAAACAAATACAACAAAAAAGATTTTACAGTTGATTTCTTTGGGCTGATGTCATTATTGTAATTAGCATTATGGGGAAAAACCCTATTGTCTGTTAGAGATGTAGATGGGCAAAAACAAATAAACAAACACAACAACAAAGCAAAACAAAACCCAGCCAGCTCTGGTTGCCTGTAAAGTGCCTCGGGGATGTTCCTGCCTTATAAGTGCCATTGGGAAGTAGATGAAACTTTAAAACCATGGAAATAAAAAGGAAAGAGGATCATCAAAGCCTCACTAGCAAGGTGATATTTGAAGGAAGGCTAGAAGAGGGAGGGAATGACTGGTGGGGTGGAGGTGGTTTCTGGGGAACACGAGCTGGGTACAGACTGTGAGAAGAGCTGGGTAGTAAGGCTAATAGAAGGGCTAGAAGCAAGAGAGAGCTGGGATTATGGCACCTATAAGCAATGGTGGTGTTAGGAGCAGTCAGTGCCAACTCTCTGTGATTTAACAGTCCCTGAACTGGGGAACAGGGAGGTGAGCATGTGGACCCTGAAAGACTGAGTGGTCAGATTGGCAGCTCTTGTCTCTCAGTCAGAAGCAGGGTCTATGGAGTTTAACAGGCTGAGCCTCAACTTCCCCCTCAACAATATAAAGCAACAAGAACTCAGTAATTATTGCCTCTGTGGTGTGTCTCAAATGCCATGTCCTTAGAAAGGTTGTACAACCTTAAGAGGTGGGGCCTTGGAGGAAGTAATGTCACGTAGATGCATCCTCAGATGATGGGAAAACCCTCCCCTTTTTGGTCTTCTGCTTCCTGACCTGAGGTGAGCAGCACTTCCTGTTACCAGGATGCTCCAAGTCACCACAGGCCAGAACCTTGGGTCAATCCTGAACTTCGAAACTGTGAGTCAGAAGGCCCGTCCTCTCTGTTGGATGATTGGCAGCTGACACAGGGAAGCCTCACAACTGGAGGCCATATGGACACGGGGCTATAAGCCTGCTCTGCATTAAGTGTCAGCACAGAGAATGCCTTCACTGGCAGAACTCTGGGCCTTGAGGGCCTCAGGAGTCACCATAGGCTGTGGCTCCATGAGATGGCATCACCCCACACGTGATGGTACCCAGGAAGTAATGTCACCTCACAAGCAATGGCACCCTGAGGTGACA